TTAAGTATGCCTTGAGGAGTTTCTTCTATTGTTGGAACAAAAAGTCTGTTAGTGGCCTTTGCTCTATCATTAGCCTTTTGCCTAAGGGGAGGAAATTCTTCCTCATAAGGTCTTAGCATGGTGATACAAGGCAAAGCTTGTATTTGTGTAAGTGGGAGTATTGGAATGACTTGTTCTGGCTTCTCAAAGGAAATAAGGTCTTTATGGTTGAGTTTTTTAAGGAGTTTAAAAAGGGTGCTCCTTTCAATGGGAGGATTTGGGAGTCCTATTTATTTTCTATTTTCTTTAGGAGGATGCTTGTGCTTACAAGGAGAACTAGTTAGCTTAGGATTTCTGGAAATCTTTCTGGAACTAAAATATTCATCATCATTATTAGAATCATTTCAAAGATAACAATCATAGCTAGGGGTGGGTCACATATTTTTGAGGCACAATCGCAAATAAAGTGACCATTGATGTAGGAGACAAAAATTGGCTTGGCCTTTAATGTAAACTATTCGATCGAGGGGTTTTTTTTTATCTTAAATAAAAGTTGGTGCAATTGACATATCCAACTAGAGATCTAGCTTGGATCTTGAGTTCTAGGCCTTTTAAAAACTAACTTGATAGTACCATCTTGGAGTTTGTAGAGTTTAGAAGGTTTTGTAATGTGAACATCCTTTTAAACACCATTAAATTGTCTTTCATAGTTGTTGATCCACTCTAGTGGCATTATCAAAGTAAGTTCTTCAGTGGGTAGATGTCTTAGGATTTGAATGATTGACAAGTCACCTGGTCTATCTACAATCATATATAGGGCATTCCTAGTTGAATTAGGGAAGTTGAGCTTAAATGAATGATCTTGAAGCCTGAAGATCATTTAGTGGTGAAGGATGGCCATGGTTGTCTCTGGCTATTATTCAGCTCCATGGATCTAGATCTAAACCTTTAGTTTGGTTGATAGAGTTGGGTCTGTGAGTTTGATGTTGAAGTTTAGAGCTATGGTGAGAACAATGTTCCCTTAGCTAAGAGTAGTTAGCATGGCACCAATCAAGGCATTTCTATATGACTTAAAAGTAGAATCAAGTAGGGTTACTTTGGCTATAGTTGCTATACCTTTTCTCCCATGAAGAGTTAGAACTAGGCAGATGACTCCAACATGGAGGTGTGCATACCCTTGGTTGATCCAATTATCTATTAAGGGTTGAGCTATCTTAAGGGTAATATACTATTCAGTAGTTGTGGTTGGGATACCATACTGGTTAAGGCTAAAGGTTTAGATAACTTTTTTAGGCTAAGGATGGTTGGTGTGAACTAGAGATTTGATTCCTCGGGTGAAAGAATTTCCTCTATGGTATAGTTTGTAAAGATTAAGGAAAGGAAGTTCTATGGGAAGAACACGAGCATTTTTTGTTACAATAGAGTTACTCTATAAGGCTTTCTATTTTATTAGAAAGAGTTTGTTTTACAAAGGATGGAAGATTATTAAAGGAAAAGGTTTAAGAAAGTCAAATAGTTTCACGAGAAGTGGAGCTTTTAGGGATTTCACTCATTTTGTGGGTTCTTGCTACTCACTTTTCATCAACAATATCCTGCTTCTGTCAATAAGATTATGGCTCTGATATCATGGGGGTGGGTCTCAATTCAATTCAATTCATACACACACATATAGGAGTCTCAATTTTAAAGTAGGAATTTATGTCTAATATGTCACTTTCATTGTTGCAATTGGGAATCTCATTTATAACTAGTTAAATTATTATTTGCAACTCATTTTTTCAAATTTTTTTATAATCTAACTATAATTAAATTGAAGTTTTGGATGCATGTTCCATATATTGTGCAATTGGTCCCTATTTTAAAGAACAAGTTATAATTAGTGTTTTTCACTCAACTCTTAGAACAAAGAACAAACTCAGAATGGGGGATAATATAAGGAATTTGCTTTTGAATTTTAATCAGGGTGCTCATAATTAGCTAGAGATTAACAATTGAGTGCAATGGAAGAAGCACACTGTTTAAGTTAGTGAAAAAAATAAAACCACATGCCACCCAATTAATACATACAAACTAATATTAATAGAGTAAAATTATTAAGACATTAATAATTCCTCATGTTCAATTGAAATTATATGGATATTTCCTGCGTTTTTCAAAGCCCATAAGGACCTCCTTAAAAGAAATAAAGTAAATGGTGATCTTTCATTATTTTTAAAATTACACATACAATCTCTCTCTCAAGTCATATTTTATGCATAATCAAAGTTCCCATTAAAATAAAAAAGATGAAGTATATATACCTTCCTCGAATTTCGCTTCAATTCACACGAACCTTCCTTTATACTTTTAAGAGAAGTTTATGCATAGTTTTAAAATAGACAGAATATATGGCTTTTAGTAAAATTCAATGGATTTATTTTATATAATTTATTTTATGCATTAGTCGCGCATCCATTTTCTTGTTATTAGTGAAAGCCGGTGTAAACGGAATGGGTATGGGTGCTCATCACTGTAACAAACTTTGGACCATCCAGATTTTGATGTGGATGGTCCAGATTCAAAGCATTATTATATATTATATTTATTAAAATAAAAATATATAAAAATTATAAAATAATTTTAATAAATTTGTTTGTTTTTAATATAGTCTAGATTTAATTTAGAAAGTTAAATTTAATATGAAAATTTTTATAATTGATATATATTGACTATCCAGATGTTCTTTGCACAAGCTAGATTAACACTCGATTAAATTTGAACTGTGCAAAGTACATCTGGATAGTTAATATATAATAATTATAAAAATTTTAATATTAAATTGGACCTTCCAAATTAAATTTAGACCATATTAAAAATAAAAAATTTATTAAAATTATTTTATAATTTTTATGATTTTTATTTTAATAAATATAAAAATAAAAATATATAATAATCATTTAAATCTAGACCATCTAGATTAAAATTTAGATAGTTTAGATTTTATCACAACGATGAGTACCATGGTGTTCATTACAATGATGAGCACCCAAACGAGATCTAATGTAAACAAACTCTATAAATGTATATAGCCAGGTGTAGTGTGGTGCAGCAGTAGGCACTTGTAGGCCCCTTCCCGGCGACGTCTGTCTAAAATTTTTTGTGACCCCAACAAGTTTCCAAATGTCCCAGTGGACCACAACTAATCGGTATATGGAACAGGGAATGAATCACATGGTGAATGCCCTTGTAATTAAAATTTGAAATGAAATTAAGGTTTGTACATTTTTAATAAAATTTAAGTAAAGTTTTATCAATTTTGACAATAAAGAACACACCTACGCAATTTCAACCAAAATCCTTGAAAACGCCGCCCTAATTAATGGGGGAATTACATTGATCAAAAAATTAATGGGAGAATTACTAATAGATCTCAGATAAGAAAACTAATTACCTACAAGTCTCTAGCAATGAAGTCAAATATAAAAAATTGACTTGTATAGAAACTAAAAAATAATTAATTTTTTATTTGGTATCTCAATTGTAATTCTCCAATTAATTTAAACACGCAACACACAGGAATGCTTGTTATTAAAGGGACACATGTATAGACCTAAAACCCACACTTGTTATTATATAAACCTCGTTATTTTTCAAATAAGCAGACAGAGAGAGATAAACTGGGTTTTCATCAGTGAGGTATATATATATATATATATATAGAGAGAGAGAGAGCAATGGGTATGGTGATGCAAAATATAGTGATGACTGCGGTTGCTTTGTTAATAATGGTGATGACTCAAGAGAGCATGGCTTCACAGAACCATGGAGAAGCATTAACAAAGAGCATTTTGTTCTTTGAAGGGCAGAGATCAGGGAAGCTACCACCAAACCAAAGGATGACTTGGAGGAAAGATTCTGCTCTCATGATGGCTTTCATATTCCTCATACTCTCTCCTGATCATTTCCTTGATACAAAAGTAATTCATCTCTCATGCTTCTCTTCATAATTTCTTTGCCCTCATGATCAATTTAAGCATATTTGAATTCGTGTATGTGATATTTTGTCCCCCTTCTTTATGTAGATTTTTGTTTTTTTGGAATTTGGAATCTTTTTTCCCCTTCTTGATATTTGATTGTCTGTTTTAAACTAAGACACTGGTTCCTTAATTTAACTTGAAATGCGTATAAAGTGTTTCTAAGATGTTTAAGAAAAGGATTGGAATTGGACTAGGGGAAGTATTGGATTCCTTATTGGGTGCTTGTTGTACATTGAACCTTGATGCACTCAATGTATTTGTTGAAATACTTGAAAAGGAGAAAATTAAAGAAACTTGTATCTTGCAGCACATTACAAAGTTTTAATAAAACATGAGTTTAACTTAGCTTATTATGCTTTTTGTTAAAGGAAATTATAGAGGTTATATTTCTGTTTCAGATTTCTCTTCTATACTAGAGTGATAAATCATTTAAAATTGTTGATTTGGCTTGGTCGATGCATGGCTGAGTGAATACTATGGCTTTAGAATCAAGATCCTTTATATTCTACAAAATTAATAAGAACTGCATAGCCAATGAATTATTGGAGTTATTATTATCAGATTTAAAGAATTTGGAAGAGATCATGGTTTGAGATAGTTGAATTAAGAATAAACAAGGTTTAGGAAAATCTTGTGGATATTTAAATAAAGCATAAATAGATAGAGTTGTAGCACGGGAAGCTTAGTATTATTAGCTTATTAGTTTGTTTGATTAGGTAATGAGTAGCACAAAGTATAAGTGAGAAGCTTAAAAAGGAGCAAGCTATAGAGATATTTGAAAATGTGTAGGATGAGTGGGTAGTGTCCCGAATGAATTTTTAATAAGTGTTTATAAAATTCTTTCCTTCAATTTTAATATTATTCCTTTATGAGTCATATAAACATTCTTGTCAATTCTATTTTTTATATATAACAATTGTTTTATTAATGATAGTATCTTGATTTTACTGATGATTTATGTTATTGATAAGTAATAATTAAAGTTGATATACAACAAAGTATATATATCATCAATATATTAAAAAATTATCATATCTCCAGATGCAGTTCCATCGACAATTCATGTTTGAAACAAGAATATATAACACAATGGTAAACTAGCACAATTAATGATTTGGTAGCAAAGGTTTACGAAGATTACAAATTTACAGTTTATTAATTTGCATCAACAGCCATGCTTTTCTTAATTCAGGAAGTCGAAGAGCCTTAAATGCCTCAAACTTTCTTTCATCATGAATAAGCATATTATAAATTTCCATAAACTCGGCGTCGTTCAAGTCAGACACTTTGGAAAGTTCATCATGTATCTCCTGAGCACTTGTTCGTTCATACTTTGGTGGGTAAGCCTCGGAAATGTAATTATCCACAGGTTTATCATCACCAGCAGAATGATTTCTCTCACCCGAAATATGAACTTGTGTGCGTAGCTTCAATTGAATCATCAGTGGAAATTGTTGCTTCCTATTACAGAATTAATATAACATCGATCATAAAAGAGCGGACCATACTTAGAAGACCCAATCACAGTTAGTTGTATAAATCAAAGTTGGTGTGAGGGCTGATTTCAGAAATCAAAATAATGCCTGTCACCAAGTTCCTATGGACTCATCTAGACCCAGTCCCATTTTTAGGATTCAGCAAGGTACTTGTCAGATCATATTAAAGTCATACCTGAGTTGTAGTCGCACACTAAGATGATGGCCCGGGTTGAAGGCTGTTCGACGGAGAAGGAGAATCGATGGCGTTAGTTGGCGTTGCAATGGCTAGGCTGAGTTTGCATGGGCATGAACATGGTCAATGTCGTAACATCGTAAATCATAAAGATATTAATTCATATTTCATATAAATGTCTTGTACCTTGCATCGTCCATGAACTGTGTTTGTGAATCATTTAAGTTCTCACTTGGTGACAGACTCTGTTGTCCTTGTTCCTCAGCTTCACAGCAGTGTGTGCTTACCTTAAATATTATGAGTCAGACAAATGCTCCAAAATGCAGATTCAAATATGTATATTTATGGATTTGTGACATTTGCCGATTATTTCATTGATTACCCTCCTGGTTCCAACTCATCAAAATTCAATTTTAGAGAGTTTCATGGTAACATGTCAAGAAGAAGTTGAGCATATAAAACTCTTAAATCAGACTAACTAAGATATACTCTCTTGAAATCATATATATAAGATGTTCTTTAGAAGCTTATTTTGTTCTTAAGCATAAGGCGTGTCATGATATTTTTAATAGATAATTTTGCCCTTATTATCTTGGAAAGGGGAAGAGTTATTAATTGTGTATTTCACTTACAACGCTCTGAAAATTGAAACTAATGATGGGGTACAGAAACGTAAAGCTTGTGTGGCCTTGTTCTCACTTTGCTTTAAAAAACTATTTTATAAATCAATTTTTAAAAATTATTTTGGAAATAAAAGGAAATGAAAATATGTTTGGTTATGTTAATTAAAAAATAATTAGAATTAGAATTAAAAATTAGCTAACAATGACTGTCATTAGTGGTGGCTCATGATAGTAATTGGTCAAGCTAACTATAACTTTTAAAAATCAAATGAAGAATATTTTGAAGTAAGAAAATAAAACAAAAACAGCTTTTAAGATGTTTATATTTTGTTATTTTTAAGAAAAAAATGAGAATAGTTTTTACAATAATTAAATTAAAAATATTTATCTAAATGAGTTTTTAATTTTTGTTTATTTTTAAAAATAGAAAACAGTTTTTAAGGATAGAAAACAAACACGCTCTTATCCTCCAATTGGTTTATCTTCTTTCAAGAGATTGTTAGATGTTCAAAGGAGGTTCTAATGAGATAACCATCTTATTTACTTCATTGGTTGACCAGCGCCCCATTTTTCTTCTACAATTCTTACGACATATTTATGTGCTTTTATTAAATAACTAATTAACTTTTATCTGTATACAGGATTCAGTTAAAAAAACATCTTATATATAGGGGTGGATGGAGAAATCGATTACTCCTCAGTTCTTAGAGAACATACCTGAGTAATCTCAAATGACTGGACCACGGCTAGTGGAGCAAAGTCACGATCACTACAGTAATGTCGGAGCATAAGAGTTAATGTTATTTAAAAACCATATGTGTGAATTTGGAAGATTAAATAATAATGATCAAAACTTGGAAACTTATAATGAATAGATTAAAAGACGGCAATATCATATTTCATATATATATATATATATATATATCTTGTACCTCGCATTGTCCATAATATGTGGAGTCAATGAATCATTTAATCTGACTTCATCTTCTAACATAGGAGCAGATGACTCTGGAGCCTCAGGTTTTTTACCTTTGTCGGCTAAGGTTTGAATTTGATAGCTCTGATCACCATCTGAGAAGTTGCGTTGTCCTTGCTCTTGTGCTTCATGGCACCATGCATTTTCCTTTAAAACATGGCACAATCTATGAGTATATCTTGCAAAATAATTATTGAACATTTATTATTAACAGCTTATGATCGGTTCCTCTCTAGTCAAATAGTCTAAATATTAAAATTATAAATGTAGGAAAGAGTGTAAATTAATAGGAAGAAAAGAAAGTCACTTTGATTGGTGAATGAAAGCAAGTTTTAAATTTCTGTCCATATATACAAATCAAGAGTCTTTTTTTATTCGGCCATAAGACTCAAATGGCTTGTTAGGACATTTGAAACTTGGAGAGATATTTTATTTATGTGGAGGTGAATTTTATAGGTTTTTACATTGTGTGTGTGTGCATGTGTGTGTGTGTGTCTCCTGGCTCATTATAATTAATTAGTGATTATCGATGAGGATATAATTAGACAGTGTTCCTTCTTGTCCTTCATATAAGATGACATTTTTCATACAGATAAAAAAATGGTTAGATTGTTTTAATTATACCTTTAAATTATACCCTCGTTAATTAAATCAAACCTCATCATACTTTACTCAAGTTACAAGAAAGTTACTAAAATTATAAGGGTAAAAAATGAAACAACATTATATATATATATATATATATTTATAACACAAGGAGTAGACCCTGTGGACAATATAGATTATTTCCTTGAGGTATTGAAGAAAAATGACAGACCTTTCCTAATTAAAATGCTACGTATACAAGGACTAGGATTTGAACTTCTAACCAAATCAACTTTTATTTTGACACCTTAGATAAAGAAATAATTAAAAACAATATAATTAGGCTAAAAATAAGAAAATAGATAATATACATGGAAAGTGATTTACTTGATTTTCGTGCACTTCCATTGCTACGAGGAGGCTTTCAAAATCCATCTTGCTCATGACACGCCACCCACACCTAACATAATTGAGTCCATCTTTCCTTTCAGCATCAAATTTCAAGTGAAATCGGCTGTAATCCATTGATAAACTCGAGCACGTTTGCTTCCCAATCTGTCCAAACAAGATCCAAAGGTGGGGAAAATTTATTGGCTTCTCCAGTTTTCGATCCCTTCCTTGTAAGAACACGAACTTATCATAGGAAGCTTTAACAAAGTAATAACGCCAACAAAATACATTTTGGTCGGCTTCAGTAGTGGAATAAAACATGTCATTTTCAAGCACAGTACACAGTGCAAATCCAAGCCAATCAGAAGGTGGGACGTCCACAATGATTGAACTTTCATATTCCTTATCCTGGCAAATAGATTTTTGGCTCTGAAACCACAACGGTATTTCACTTCCTGGGATAGTCACCGAGAAGGTTTTAATTGATAGTGATGCCCATGAGTTAGCATTCAATCTATGTGGCTTCCATTCCGCGTATTGTCCACCCTAAAAAACACAAATTTCTCATGTCATCATGTGTCAAAGAATATATACAATTAGCAAGCATTAAATAGTGAGAGTGCGTGCGCCAAAGACCTTTGGGTTCAGTGACATAAAACTATACATATATATATATATATATCTTTGTGAGAGATCAGCCACATGTTCAAATATGTACTTGTGTGTGGGTGGGTGTGTTTGGCTAGATGTTTGTGTGTGTTTAATTGACTCGTTTATAAAAGGAAAGGAGTGAGAGCATCCATGTGTGTTTGTGAATTTGTTTTTATAGATAGGGATTCATTGTTATAAGTTTAGAGGGAGAGTTGGTCCAGTTGATAAAAGATTTGGCACATAATTCACAAAGTTGTAAAATCAAATTCCACAGTTAATATGATGATTTTGTTGGTAGGTGATCTAGCTCTTTGAATCTGAAGGCATGCCCCCATCTTGGTAAGCTCTTTGGATTTAACTCTCCTAAACTTTCTTATATCTATGTATATATAAGGGAGAGCTCGTCTAAAAAAATTAGGATGCTTTGTATAAGAGTCTCTTGAATTTATATATATTACTTGTATTTGCGAGATTTCTAGACAGATACATAATAATGGATATATAGACAAATATGTATACCTGATCAATTGAAGCAAAGAGATGTAATAATCTTTCTTCTGACAAGGTTGGCAATGAAGTACAACCTCTAGCGTCCATTAGATCTAAACCTGGTGAAGGCTTAGGCAACAATTGAAGCCTTGGGCAGGAATTCAAGTATAGAAATCGTAGATTCAAGAGCTTAGAAATGCAACCAGTAGGTAGATTCGTGAAGTTGTTTCCACTTAGATCTAATTTCCATAATGATGACATGCCATTGAGATCATTCGGAAGGAATCCATCATGAATATTGCACTGGCTTAGATCCAATTCTTCTAGTGATTTAATGCTGAAGATTGATGTAGGCAATTTTAAGCCCTTAGGAAATGAATACCTCTTGATCCATGATTTGGATGTTGGCTTTTTCAATCCATGAAGTGACAATATCTTGAGTTTTTCTAAGGAACCAATAGAAGAAGGTACTTCTGTGATAGTTGTTCCACTTGCATCAAGCTTTTCCAAGGCTTTATTTCCATTCAAGCTTTTTGGAAGTTTTGATAAATTTGAGCAATTAGAAATATCAAGAACTTTCAGACACTTCAATTTCTGGATGTTATGGGGTAGACTAACAAGATTTTGGCAACCTCTTAAATCCAAAGTTTCCAGATTAGTTAGTGATCCAAGTGACTCAGGAAGTTCGGCTATATTTGTCTCCTTAACATCAAGTACTAAGAGATTTTTCATGCATTCTCCAAAATTTGGAAGTTTCTTAACTTTAGTGCAGCCACAAAGAACAAATTCTCTCAGAGATGCCATTTCCAATTCTCTTGGAAGGCTTTTAAGATTTTTGCAATCTTTAAGATTGACTTCAACAAGACTTTTGAGCTGGCCAAGAGAAGGATCAATTTGAACAAGTTCCTTACATCCTTCAAGAACTAATCTTTCTAGTTTTTGAAATCTTGAGAATTGTGGAGCTTCAGTGAGTTGTTTGGAATGGCTCAAGTCCAAAAACTTGAGATTCTCCATCTGCTGATTAAAAAAAAAAAGCTATAAAAAAAATATACTTAAGTTAATGCTTAATTAATCCATTGAGTGGTGCATTTGAGATACTCCCTCTGGTCCTTATTATAAATCACGTTTAACCTCTTTACCAAAAGCAAAGAAGGGCACCTTAAAATAAGGACCGGAGGGAGTAATGCTCAAAGTAACTTACTTTGCCACCATGCCAAAGTCGCTTTATTTTGCTATTTTTCATTCTGAGATGTACAAGTTTACGCACTTCCTCATCCAACGGAAGAGTTTGTAGAGGACATTCATGCCAATCGAGAACTTTTAATTTGCAAGGTAAGTCTTTCAGACCAAAGGGAAGGCAGACATTAATACTTGATGATATGATGAGTATTCGAAGCCGACTCATGTTTGAAAAGGCGTTAGGATTCCAATCTGTTCTGCCGTTGTCATAACTAAAAGGCAAAACTATACCTTCTATTGCATCGGTCCCCTGATGAGAAAACATTAATTCCCAAGAGAAATATCATAAAAACATATATAAATATAAATATGTATATATACATAAGCTAAATATAAATGAAACAGAATTGAATGCTTAGTCTCCATGACCATAACCCCACTGTCTCTCTGACTCTCATGCTTATGAACTATACTAATTATTTGTAACTTCCATAAACTCCCCAATAAGTGCTTTTAATGTTCATAACTCCTCCATTATAATCCTATTTATCTCAACAAGTAATTGTAATCCCTCATTAAGCTGTTTATAACTCTCATTTCATTAATTTTGAATGCATTGCTTGAGAGAAGACCTTTATAAACTACTATAAATAAGGCCATTGTCATTGTCTTTGTATTCATTGTCAAGGAATAATATAATATTTTGTCAAAGTAAGATATTGTTCTCTCTTCTCCCCCCACCCAAATTAGCTCCAGTGCCAATAAATTAAAGCATATAAAAACTCAATGACAACATCATCATCATCATCATCATAATTATGATGCAATGTTTGGCAGGTAAAAAATTAATTGGTAAGTTTTTTCTTAAAAAAAAAAAAGTAGGTACATATTTTCTTTCTAGAAAACACTTTTCACGTACCAAACATGCATGCTATCAAGTGTTTCCAGAAATTAATTACTCACCGAATCTCGTTCTAGTACTTGCACAATGTCCTCGGTAGACCACAATCTACTGCGCCTTTCAACATGTACAGGAGATTCTTCACGAACAATACTCCTACCCATATCTTGAATCAAATTGTGCATCTTTATATACTTGCTATAGCCAACCTCAACTTCATCAAGCAAAGATTTTTTGATAAGATTAGGGATACCAATTGTTGCCGGAAGACCGGAACTTTCCAATATTTCTGTTACTTCATCTTTTCCCCATATATTAAAAAAACAAGCAATATCAAGAAATATTGCTTTTTCTTTAGGGCTTAATGCATCATAACTTATTTTGAGTATCTTAAAAATTTGATTATTTGAATCTTCCTTCAACATATCCAGAGACTTTTCCCATTCATCTGCACTTCTTCCACAAAAAAAGGAGCCCAAAACACAGAGAGCCAAAGGAAGGCCTTCTGCATAGCTAATGACTAATTTAGACTTCTCCAGAAGGTCCTGGTCATCGGCTTGATCTCTTGTAAATGCTTTTAGGTGAAAAAGTTGAAGAGATTCATCCTTGTTCATTGGCGTAACCTCGTATATTGAATCCACATGATGTAACCTAAGTAAGTGGACATCTCTGGTTGTTATAAGTACTCTACTCCCAGCACCAAACCACTCCATGCTTCCAGCAAGGCTCTCCAATTGGTCTATAGAACTTACATCATCAAGGATAAGCAAAAGCTTTTTATTGCGAAAATGGTATTTTATTGTATTCTTTACTATGAAAATGTCTTCAATTTCTTTGTTTTCTTTTCTAAGATGTGAAACTAGTTTTCTTTGCAAAGAAGCTAACCCAAATCTTTCTGAAACCTCCCTAACATTGGCGAGAAAACAATGAAAATCAAATTCATCGTGCAACTTCTCATAAATAGCTCCTGCAAGAGTTGTCTTGCCAACCCCGCCCATACCCCATATTCCTACAAACTTGACTTCGTCAAGCTTCTTTGACAGAAAGAATTCTATTTCACGAATTCTCCAGTCAATACCAATTAGCTTATCATCGTTGATTGTATGTGGCAAGTTAACATGGAAGTGGTTCCATAACTGTTCAACCACACTTTCAATAAGTTGTGATTCGTACCTGTAAAGTACAAGTATGGTAAGAGGAAATGTCCATCAACTCACATATAAAATATAAGTTGAGAAGATCAAAGACAAACATGCATGCACGAGTCCACTTGTCTTTACTGTGAAGACCAGAAATTTAGTAATGATATTTAGAGAATTAATAGTTTAGTTGGAGGTTAGAAATTGACTGTCAACACCCCAAATTTTAATGTGAAGACAAAAAATTCAGTAATGATAAATAGAGAATTACGTTCTAAACATTTTATCTGAGAAACAAGGCTTTTTCTTTATTTTTACAATAATTTTAAAATTTTGTAATGAATAATTTAAAATAATGCTTCCTCTGATATTATATATAAGTCACTTCTAACTACCTTACGGAGAGATGATTAAATTATTGATGTTGTCTAAAGGGGGGAGTTTCTAGTTTACCCTTTATACCTTTATTATGATCTTTTTTCCCCCCACAAAAGAGAGCCCATTTTATTGATTAAAAGAAAGAGTTATTACACGCTAATCAGTAAAAAGCAAAAAAAGAGCACCTAGAGTACGACCTTCGAAAACATAAAAAGAAAAAATACTTCATTTTTAAACACACTTTCGTTTTCCTATATAACCTTTTACATTACTCATAGATGGTAAACTGTAAAACAGTCAAATTGAAAGAAAGTAATTAATAACTTTTTTTTATATGCGAGGTGACTTATAAAAATGACTGTCAACTTTTTCTAGAAAATAATTTATATATAGCATCGAGGGATCTTTTTTTAACATGGAATGTTTATTGGATGAATCATTTTTTGAGTAACACCAAACATGAATGGGAAGAAAGATAGATAAACAGTAAAAGACATTAATTACAATTTTATGAATGTGAAGTGTAATACTTTTTCACAATTAAAATTTCCATCTCACAGTAAAAGGAAAAAAAAACATTTTTTCTCTTCACAACTGAATACCCACATGCAGTGTTGCATGAGTTGATACAAGAATACAAGATATTAAAAACTAGATTGATTATTGTACCGATCAATGCATTCGTTTAAGGGTTAATAATCAACATTATAGTCAAACTATAATCAAACTGGTCATATACAAATCATTTTATTAAACTGATCAAGACACTCCTTTAACAATTTAATGATCCAATCAGGCAGGTTAACCCGAATTTCCATACTATGCAAATATAAACAGTTACACACACACACACACACAATTTTAACGTTAAAAATTACCATTGCTCAGAAACCCAACCAGATAAATCAGCAAGTTGGGTAAGAGAATCTCTCCATTTTCTGATCTTCTCCTTGTCATCTTGGAACTTCTTTTGAAGCTCATCAAAAGCTTCACCAAAGCTTCCTCCTTGATGTCTTACATCCGATGGACTTACTTGATAAAAGATGGGAAGAACTTGTTGACTTGGTTTATTTCTTGTAGCAAGAATATGTTGAAGCTCATCTAAACACCACCAAGAGGAAGCATAATTTCTTGACACGACAACAATTGCAAAGCGAGATCGTTCAATTGTTTCTTTGAGTTTTTCTGAGATAGTTTCTCCCCTTTTGAATCCTTCCTTGTCTCTAAAAACTCCAAATCCACTCTTACGTAGGGCAGAATACAAGTGATCCGTAAAACCTTTTCGAGTATCTTTGCCCCTGAAACTCAAGAACGCATCGTACTTCCAGTTTTGGAATGTATAATTGGAGTCAGAAGACTTTGACGAATATGCTTCTTTCTCACTTGCCATCCAAGAACAACTGAGCATGTAACTTGAATCAAAATTTAGTGCTTAATTCAACTATGGTTCTTAATTTATGCTAGTGCAGAGTTGACCTGCAATTTGGCAAACAGGGACAATCTTTACAATATGCGACCGGATCTTTTCCTTATTTAATTTATTTCATCCCTATCAATCGCCATATTTACTTTAAGAATATGTATTCTATATATATACACATATTAGAAACTTAATTAATCAATCAGTATACAAGCACACAAGTATACAACTAATATTCTATAGAGCCAACGCATTGGTATTCTTTGACTTTGAATTTAATATGAATACTGTTGGCCTAAAATAAAGAATATTGAATAAACGCACGAAACAATACTTTACAAGAAAATGACTCATTCTACGGCCGATCAATTATGTAACATGCACAGAGCAAGTTGACAATATATATATTTTACATTCTTCTGTCATTTAAGATTATCCATGGTTGTCAAACTCTTGAGATCTGACATCTGAGTTAACTGAGTTTCATTTTCACATGCAGCAAACGAACCAACTCGTTGCAAACTCGTCAGCCATAATCCAAACTCGATCAAAATGGGACATGGCTCAGACTCGGTCAAATTCAATGCACTCCACCGTGTTGATGACATGAGAGGAGCTAGTTTAACCTGTGAAGAAATTGGGAACTAAAATACTAAATTAAATTCCTAACCTCACTATCCAACGTCTCATGATTCAGGAGAGAGCCACCGCATACATGTCCAAACTTACATTTGTGTTTATATAAAGACAAATTATATACATATGTATATATATATATATTAAACAATGGAAAAATGATTACAAACAAAACCCCAAGAAAAATAGTTGGACTACTCTCTCATGCCTAGAAAACTCACAACAACATAAAAGGCTAGAAACTGTACAAACAATTAAAACTTTGCCCAAAATGAACGGACAAAGGAAAAAAAAACATAATGATGACAACAGTGATGACAACAAAAGATTCATCCAGCAATCTGACCCAAGAATCATTTGCTTGAGAAAGAAACCCATAAAAGATTTGACAAAACTCTTCGTGTTATAACGTGAACCAAACTTAATGGGCACCAATTAAGAATTTCATGACATTTCATCATATTTTTCTTGCCAAACTTAATGGGAACCTATTAACCTCTAGAATTCATGACATTTCATCATATTTTTCTCATGTTTTAATCATATTTTGACATAATTGTACATATTTTGAATACTCAAGTTAGGAGAAAATGTGCATACTGTTTTGAAAATTCACACCATAGCTCTATTTTGGTATTTTCTAGCTAATTTATTGCTACCTTAGTTCAAGGCATGTTGTTGGCCATTCTGGTCATTAGGTGAAGCTTTTGGAGGTCTATGAGGTCAAGGAATCATATACAAAGAAGAACAACCACACCAAATGGGAATAGTGTACAAAACAAAACAAAGTCATGACTTCGTTCATGACTTTCAATGCTAACAGAAAAGTAATATGTCTTCTTTAGCTGATAAAGTTAGGGTTAATTTTGGAGTATATTGATAAAAAATGCATATTTTATAGACAAATAGGTATAGACTTTGGATTATGTTTGATTAAATTTATTAACATTTCATACCTATTTAATTAATATTTATATATTTTTCTCTTATCATTTAATTATAGGATAAGAAAGAATTATTTTGCTATAAAATCTACTTATATTCTTCCTTTTTTATATTTTGCAGAAAAGAGAATAAATCAAATTGAAGAAGAGGAAGGAAATATTTTAACTATATGATAAAAGGAGGCTTGGGCCAAATGGGCTTTTAGGGCTTTGGGGTGCGAAAAGCTATAAAAGAAACCTTCATTTTGAGCATCCAAGTTCATATATGAAAGCTAGGAGGTAGAGCATGGAGTCCGAATGAGTTCTTTTGAGCTAGGATTTTGTCCTTTTTCTTTTTTCCTCTTATTTTGTTTGTCTTTTATTGGAATTTTGTCTGACTACTTTATGAGTTCTTTCTAAGTCCCTAGTCAGGGTAAGGAGTAGCCTAATTGTGATGGATTTGTTCTTTTATTTGTTTTATTTTTTTTTCATCGAACATGAATTCTGTATACAAGAATTTATCATTTTTATTTAAATTTATTTATCTTGTTTTATTTGCCTCATTATATAGACAGCCACTATATAATCTATTTGTCATTTGTTCAATGAACTGGAAGGTGAAGTACTAACTTAGATCTAGAGAAGAAAACATAGATAACTAAATTAGGAGTAATTCAGGATTTGTGGTGACTTAAATAGTAGCTTCATGATCTAATTAGTGCCCTTTGAGTTAGGTGAAAGCCAATTAAGTGCTGGTTAGGCATGCCCTAATATATCGGAAGGTAATTATGATATCTTAGTAATAATTGTCACCATAAATAAAAGAAAAATTATCAACTAAATTTGAGCAAGCCATCCCAATAGGTGAATCTTAATCCATGACATTTGTTTGATAGATTGGATCTTCATTTTTATCATTGTTATTTATTTGTGTCATTTAATTCATATTTAAATACCTTTTTAAAACTATTTACTATCATAAATAACATAGCCAACTGCTTTCCTTTGGGTCCAGCTCATAGAATACTCTAGGGATTATTACTACATTGATCCCATACACTTGTGGGAGCAATAATATATAACAGATATTTTTGACTTTGGCCGACATTCTAGACTTCTTGGGAGTTTTGGCCGTGTTAACTGTAACATTATTTCCTGATTAATTTTTCTAATAGGGGTAATTAAGTAACATAAAGTTGAATATTGGGTTGTAGATGGTTTGAGAGGGATAATGAACTTATTGGGCTTTGACTATAGCCTTTGGATCTAATTCGAAGTAGTATTGGGCCGTTTGGGCCCAAGTGAAAGATTAAATTTTGGGGAGCCTTCTCTGTACTATCCATTAAGGCAAACATGCCATACGCCATGGCAAATGGCACAAAATTTTATTAAATTTGGATCTTGAACTTGACAAAAATAGATAGGAACAAGAGGAAGAATGATAGTGCTCATGGAGTGCTTTACTAGGATAGGATCGTTGGGCCATTTTAGAGTTATTTAGAGCTTCTATCTCTAAGGTAATCATCTACCCTCTCTTCCTCTTCCTCTATACTTAGTTTTTGAGTTAGGGTTTGTAGTGGAGATGATGATTTTCAAACTTTAGGTGCAAACCCACTAGGTTGAATGTAGCCAATAGAGTTGGTTAAGCTTTCTAAACTTAAGAATGATGGTTTTATACATCTTTGTGAGTGGATCCTCATTTTTGGATGAATATTTGCATTTATGGGATGAGTTGGAGTTGTTGGGAGCTATTAATGTTAGTAGTTGAGCTTAAGGAAGTTAAAAAGGTTAATGGGAGCTAATGTAACCATTGATTGTGAGTAAAACCTAAGAGATTGGGATTTTTAGATTATCAAAGTCTGAAATATGAGTGTAGAAATTGTGTAAATAGTAGTATTAATGATGGTTAATGTTGTTAATTGTACATTAACCACTTGGTGCACCATTTGAGTTTGAGAATAGCCCAAGAAGTAAGTTTTGATTGATGGGTAACCTTTGCCCTCTCAAATTTGAGGAAATTGGGGAAAATATAATTTTTGTTCATTGCTTATTGATTTGATTGTAGGGATTTGTGAACTTGATATTAAATGTGTGAATTTGGTTTCATAATTATCTTGATATGTTTCATGTTTTAGAAATTTAAAAATGCAAATGTGGCTTGGAAAAATGGTCACAAAAAATACTTAGTTAAATGAGATTGAGGTGATATAGTTGTGATGATGAAAGTGATAATTAGCAATGAGGCATTCCAATGGGAGCTTGATGATATTTCTTGAATATGATGAATGTGAATGAGATAATGTGATATGACTATAATGATATTGATTGAGCTATGAGATGTGTATAATGTGTTGAGCATGATGAAATGAATAATGGCATGCTAAATATGTTGAACATGTGAATATAACATGATCATGATTGGCAAGAGTTTGATTTGGGAGAGGAGTAATTATAAATCCACATAATATGATCGTCATTTGAAAATTGATGGCTAGCCATTTGTCCCATTGTTTGTTAAGAGACTATACCACTATTTGTCAAGGGATTTGAATTGTAATAACGCAAAAATTTTGGTAATAAATATTATGATTATCTATTTTGGTTGTATTTTTATAAATGTTGGAGCAGATTTAACAAGAGGAATTGGTGGTTTAATAGAATCTGTGCTAGTCATATGTCAACTTGGTTCTAAGTTTGAACTTTAAGAGGCTAATAGTAAAATTTTCATTTTTGCTTTAGCCTTTTGAAACTACCAGTTTGCCCTATTTCCCATGAGATTATTTTTCCTCTCTCCCTCATTTCATTTTTGGATTCAATCAAAAGTGAAATAAAGAGAGATTTGGGCCCTCAGCCTTACAACCTTCATCTTTACCTCCTTTTCTGTTACCCTTCTTGTCGTTGGTGATAATGTTGTCATTATAGAGCCATTTTTCCTATTCATTATTCTATTCTCACCATAAGGATGATGAGTAGAAGGCCAAGCAAATGCTTGAGAAGATGTGGCCAAATTATTGTTAGCAAGTGGTGCCACCTGATATCACCTCTTTCGAGGTAATGTGTAGTAAGATAAGGATTATGGCCAGATAGGGCCAAGAGTAAGGGATAAGAAGAGGGATAGCTAAGGCCATTTCTCATCATATGTGTGTCTTATTAGTAGTGTTAACAATAGGTCAAGATTTAGCTCTAGGAGTTCTGGAGGTTTTAACATCTGCTGGTGTCATACCACAATAGTTAGTGTATGATCAGCATGGAATATGAGGTGAACTAATATTCCATAAGCCTTGATTGACCAAAGTTTAAGCTAAAATATCAATATATTTTAGTTATATATTAATAATGGTTTAGAAAGTTTAAATGTTTTGTAGAAATTTTGGCAAAGTCTCCCTATAATTTAGACCTCTCGAAATTTTCACAACAATAATAGAAAGCAAGGAGACTAGCTCCATTTTAGCAATTTACATAATAAAAAAATAAGACTAGGGCCTAACTATGGTATACGTGAAGCACTAAGTTATGATTACAAAATACAATAAATAGTTTTACCAAAACACTAATGGCAATATGACTCCTCTCACTACTACAAAATATATTTTTAAGAGCACCTTTTTTGTAGCGCTTATGAAAAAAGCGCTCCTATACATTGAGCCGAAACCTACTGGAGTGCTTTTATTAAAAAGCGCTCCAAAATATTACCTCTATTGGAACACTTCTAGAATGAGTGCTCCTGTAAATCATAAAAAAATAAAAAAAATTCCTTTAGGAGTGCTTAAGAATAAAGCGCTCCTAAAGGCTTTAATTTATTGGAGCGCTTAATGTAAAAGCGCTCCGAATGGTTAAGTAAGAAAAAATTAAAAAGAAGAAGAAAGATTTATCTTTAAGAGTGTTTACTGGCTAAGCGCTTTTAAAGGTTAAAATAAAAAAGGATATAAGAGCACTTTTTCAAAAAAAGGCTACTAAAGAGTTATATAAGAGCGCTTTATTAGAAAGCACTCTAAAAGGTTCTTTTTATAATATCAAAATACAATATTTGTAAAGCTCTACAAGTCTCTCGGCATTTTCCACATATTCTCTCTAATCCTTTTCTCCTAAAACCCTTCTAACTTCCCTTTTGCTGCCTTGCCACCATCAATATCCTAATCAATGGCCGTTGTCAACCGTCACCTGCCTATCGTTGAAACACGCTGTCCCAGCCACACCGAACATCTATACAAAATCATAGATTTGTGTAGTATCGCCGCAGATCTACTCCCTATATGTCGCATTTTCCCTTCAATCTTTGCTGCTATTGTCGCCGCAGCATTGGTGCATCGCGTTTCATCATCCTCCTCAGTTCACCCTCCAACTACATCATCATGCTCCTGCATTCAGTGTTCTCTAGATTAAAGGTATTGTTTCACTTTAACCATTATCTTCTCCTAGAAAACTCATCGATTTGGTGCCAAAATGGCTTGAGAGATGCAAGGGTAATTTTTTCTGTGCACTGTTGGGTCTGTTTGTCTGTAAAAGTCCTTAGTTGATGATTATGATTGGTGATTTGGTAAACCTAGAGAACTTGTTTTTAGCTGCTCGAGCAATTTTCTTGCTTGTCCTGTGCTAGGTCACTGCTCGGTTGGTCTGGAAGAAGGACCATTTTCATCATTTTCATTTATTCCAATTTTACTTTCTTGGCATTTTTACAGACTGCATTCTTCTAAAGAGTTTGAAATATGATTGCAAAAGATATCATTCAAATCAATCGAGTCGTGTAATGGAATAATAAAATTACCAAATTCTTATCAGCAAAAGATACATAAAAAACATGATTGCTCTCCATTTCTATCTTCCTTAAGCAAACACAAAAATGAAGTAGTAGTTGTATTGATTTGTTTCAACTATAAAGCATGATTCATCATATGCATTAATACTTGATGGACTGCTTTTATCAATTGAGCTGGATGGGCCCTTTTTTTCTTTTAAATCAAATAACACTGCTGATACTGTATTAATTAATCTCCCAATTCTTCTCATAGTGACAATTTAATTTTCAATTCTGTTTAATTTTAGAACCTCGCATCTATAAATCTTTTATCCTGTTCAGTAATATCTGTGCTATTAAGCATGGAGTATACTGATATTGCTTTATATGTTTTCCTAAGATTAGAATTATTAGTATTTAGTAGCAGCCTAGATAACTATTTATTTCTCATTCTATCTTCTAATTGATGTCTTATGTCAGTAGCAGCCTATATGCTACCTTTACCTAGCCATTAGTTATGTTATGTTACACAACTAATGAGTAAAGGAATTAGTGGTCTATTCTTATTCTTATATCTTTGACTGGAGGCACATTTTTGTTTTTATATATGCAGTGACTATTTGTTTAAGCTTTTGCTTATTGGAGATTCTGGTGTCGGCAAATGATATCACTTTCTGCGGTTTGCTTTAAGTTTTGAGCTTCTATCTCTTTCTTCTTCTTTCTCATGGTGATGTGCTTCATCTTTAGCATTCTCTGTTTGAAGTTTTGGTGCGTTTGGGACAGCATTGCACCTAATCAAACATGGTTTGTGTAGGTCATTTGTACTATTTTGAGCATTGAAATTTATGGCCTGGTCATTTGTATTGGTGGTCTGTGCAGTGCGTAACAAAATTATTTTTGTTTTGAACCTTTTAATGTAAAATTAAAAAAAGCTTGTTGATTTTTCTACTATCATTGTAAACCACGATGATTCATACCTTGACAGCTATATCAGTATAATTGGAGTTGACTTTGTAAGAATATATATTTCCTATTCATGATCAAGTTTCAGTTGTCAAAATATAACAGCATGACTAATTATTCTCTATGCTCTCTTCTATAGAAAGTTCAAGCTGTGGAACAAGATGGGAAGACTATCAAGCTTTAAATAGTAAGTACAAGATAACTTTAAAGTTAATAAGATTCTGAAATTATTTTAGATAGAAAGTTTTGTTTCTTTCCATAATAACCCCCAACAAAATTTAAACTAAATAAATAAATATATATATATATATAGAGTAACTTACTTAAAGTGTGTTTATATTAGTTTTTGGGATAAATATAGCAAGTTAGAGACTTGGTCTAGTGGCTTCTGAGGAAGACTTCATATATTAGGTCCCCAGTTTGAATCTGGAAGAGTACGAAAGAAGAGTTGAATTTTTTTTTCTTTTTCTGGTCATGCAAAATTACCAAATTACCATTGGTTTCATCAGATTTTTTTTAACTTTCTTTCTTCTTTCTCGATGGATCTGGACCAGAGAAAGAGTTTTGAGAGCACTGACGTTCTGCTCTACCTCTCAACTGAAGCTACCTTCTTCCTCCTCCACCGAAGCTAGCAACGTCGTTTGTGTAGCCACCATTGAAGCTCTGCTTATCTGCTCGCCTCAGCTGTGATTTTTTTCCGAGTTACTACTGTTCGTCCGCCTCTGCTACTGATTCAAGAATGAAAAGTCTTTCTTTCTCTTAGCTTCTGGTTCGCGTGGGTATAAAAGATTTGGGTGAGCAAAGATCTCTTCTTTTTGGGTTCATTTTCTGTTTATTACTGAGCTTATTCTTCTTCATTCATGGCGACAGTTTTTCTTCACTGTTCATCATCGTCCTCCTTCCTCTATCCGTGTGTGTTGATTCATTTGAGGTTAGAAGCTTCAATCTCTTCCTTTTTCCTCATAAATATGGGCGTGTGAGTAGCTGGGGGGTATTACAGAAACTAGGAATTTGTGTGTGCTCCATATTGTTGCCATGACCAAAGAAGAAGAAAAAAAAATCTGGACTGAAATCGAAAGAGACAAGCTTGGATATATTGTTGGTACTTATGAGATGTCATTGAAGGGCTTGTATGAGGAAATAAAAATTTGACTTTTAAATATTGATGGGAATTATTGGTTTAGGAATTCTCTTGTAGCTTTGTAAAGGAATTTAATTATGGGCTTGCACACAATCATGTGTATATTTAGAGTTTGTTTGATTTTTGGTGAATGGTTAAAGGCTTAAAATTGAAGAGGTAGAAGTAATGCACCAAAGGTAAGCGATGCAAAGATTGGGAGAAAACTCCTATTCCAAGGAAATAGTATGGCATGGTTAAAGTTTTATGAAGAAAGTAAGAGAAATGAATGATAATGCTTGAATTAACTTTAAATCATAAATTTGGGTTTTTAGATTTTAATGGTGGTTAGTGAAGGTTGTGTTATAAATTAAAAAGTTATTAAAATTGTATATATTTATATTTTATAGGGAGTGTGGAAGAACAAGACCCTAAAAAGACTTAAAAGAAGAATATCTCAGGAATTTAGAACTTCAACAGGTAAGTGAATAGCATTCCTTATGAGTATTCATTGAAAATCTTTTATTAAAATATTTCATTTTTATGAATTATGTTAGTTTTAGAAATTTTGAAATAATGATAAAGAATAGTCGTATTATGATTCATGTTCTTTCTCAAGAAATATATTTTAATATTGATAAAGGCACCCTTGCTTATTGAATTTCAAAAATCTCTTGATTACATGATTAGCGCAAGTTGTACATTTGTTATGGTGTATTGATTTGACAAGTTTTATATATTTGAAGTAATTCACGCAAGTTTGATCTTGAGAATGAAAATTTGACTTCACAAATAATTATTTCTCTCGCATGTTTGAAATGAGATTTCTAAGAGAACTCTATATAGAACACTGCTACTAACGGCAGTTCCGTTAGTCCGTAGCATGTTGTAGTTAAACACTAGCTAGTTTGTTTCGTGAGTTTTATTCTCACGTTTGGTATTCGTGGGCTTCGTACCCACGTTTGATTCCATGGCCTGAGTTACGTTTGGTTATTTACCCTCGTGGACTGTGTGTCCACATTTGTTTCGTAGCTTCGGTTGCGTTTGATTACTTACCCTCGTGGACTGAAGTGTCCGCATTTGTTTTTGTGGCATAAGTCACATTTGGTTATTTACCCTCGTGAACTGTGTGTTCACCTTTGTAACCTGTTCTGTTGAGTTCTCAAATTTTTAAATGTTGATTATTATATGTTTTCAAATTTTACTTGAGTTTTACTAGTAATTTGTATCACTTTGAGTCATATGAGAGCAGATCATTTTCTTTAAACATGATAACATAAATTGTTTTCAATTTATTCTTATTTTACAAATATGATTATGACTTACATGCTTATAAATTTTGGTGGAATTACTTTCAATTTTCTTGACATCATTATCAAAGATCGTCAATTTAAATTTTAAAGATTTTATCATGGGAATGCTATTCACTGAAAAAAATTTATTTGGCCTCAGATTGGTTAGCTGACGTCGATTCCACCAACGACCTCAAAAAGGGCAACTAGCTACAGTAGGTGGATCTTTTTTGATTGGTATTGCCACTTGAATGTAAATATACAATTTGTATGTCTTTTTGAATTGAAAGAAAGAGTAGATACTCCACATAGGTTGTTGATTAATCTTATTTTTGCCTGTATACTGGTTGTTGGTTGGAAGGAGCTACGCTCCTGACTTATACTGTTATTTGTAAAGAATTTTATTGTAGAATTTTTGGGAGATCCTAGTTATAAGGAAGGTTCTTCCGAAATTTCTACAAATACGTCAAAACTTTCTTATGATAATGAATTTAAAGAAGTTATTTTAATTCCCATGTGATTTGATTGAATTTTGTTCTTTTCAAAAAAAAAATGAAATAAAAGTTCACTTAGAGGCTTATGGAAATGTGAGAATGGTTCACACCCGTGCCGGCCACCCTCTATTTTGGAGCGTGTCACTTTCAACATCTAATTATTGTTCTTTCTTGAAATTATCTGAATTTTTTTTATAAAGCTTAATTTCAGCCAAACCTCAATGTTTGAAAACTAAACAATCAACCTCCAGGCTCCAGCAATATTTCTTGGGTATATTATCTTTCTTTTATTGTAGAATATCCTCTATTCAATATGATGATACTCTGGGTTTATCCATTTTTGTAAGGGAGAAAAAAACAATTCTTGTGGTTCAATACTACAAACTTAAGAAACATAGGGAAAGTTGATTGTGGTTATTAATTATGTATACATGGCTCGTGCTGACAACATCCATTTCTTTGAATATATAGTGGGACGTAATTGTTCAAGAGCGTTTCAGTAATATCGTTGGCAGCTAGTATTGTGTAGCGGAGGAAAGGGCACAACATGTCCTAGAGAAAAGGATGGGCCAAGAATTTGATCAAAGAATGTTAGATATGAGCTTTTCTATACAAGAAGACATATACAAGAAGACATATTTGGGGTTATTTGAACTTTTGGCTGAAAGGTTTTCAATTCCATAGCAAAATGTTAATAGCTCAAATTCATCTAGGCAACAAAATTTTAATCATAATTGTCTAAAATAACTTTTATATGATGTGCTTTGAAGTTTTTGTGTAATCTTTTATATTTTATTTAACTCTCTATGTATGGATTAGTCATTTTTAATGAGCTGTAAGAGAAAATGTAAAAATTGTTTGATTTTTTTTTAAATGAAAACTTCTATATGGGAGCGCTCACTTGAAGAGCGCTCCCATAGAAACTGTAGGGTGAGGATACAAGAGCGCTTTTTTGAAAAGCGCTCCTGTAGGGGAGGATACAGGAGCGCTCTTTTGAAGAGCGCTCCTGTAGGGGTGTGTGCTTTTTACATTAAAATTCTTTGGGGTTACAAGAGCACTTTAACAAAAAGCGCTCTTATTGGCAACACCTACAGGAGCTCTTTCCTAAAGAGCGCTCCTATATCCTCCCCCTACAGGAGCGCTTTTTAAGCACTCTCATATATATATGGGAGCGCTAGCCACAGGAGTGTTTCAAAAGTGTTCTTGTTGGCAAAAAATAAGCGCTCCCATAGGCTTATTTTTCAGTAGTGTCTTTTCTAAAACAAAAGAGATCCTCAATATTTTGTTGGAGGCGCAAAGTCAACTACAATATCTGAGACCAAAAAAATTTTTGGTGAGTAGTGTTCCAGTCAAAATTATAATAAAGAAAAACTAAAAATAATAAAATAATAAATAATAAATTTAACTTCAAATGACTTAATGAAGGAATAAATTATATCATTAAGTTAGAAATAAATAATGATTTTTTTCTCAATAATATAATTGTGAAATTAAACAATGCCAATAAAATCATATATATATATATATATACTAAAAATTTTCACTGCTCATAAAATATAAAGATTTTCAATAATAGTGCAGTTTGATAAAGTACTTTCAAGGAATTACTAGAGAAATGATAAATCTTAATTTAAAATTTAGGAGGGTTTTATTGAAATGAATAACAAGCGTGTACACACAGTTCATGAGGTAAGTAATCAGTCAAATGTAGACACATAGTCTACGAGGGTAAATAACTAACAAGCATAGCTTAAAGCCATGAAATAATCATGTGTGGTTAGAAGCCATGAAACAAGCGCACAAAAGGCATGAAACAAGCGTGAGTACAATACTCATGAATACCCATCCCTTTGTTCCACATGCATTGGCCTGTGCATGGGGCTAACACCTCCTATAAGCACTTTGCTAGCTAGGTGTATTATGGTGTGTCAAGGGTTAATGGAAGTGCTGTTAGCATCCAGTATTCTGAACCCAGTCCCTCTTATTAAAATCAAGCATGAATGGAGTATGAAAATAGTTTCAAAACCTTTAATAGAAAATAATATCCAACTATCATTTCTATTATCTGAATGTTTTATCCTTTTCTTCATACACAAATCATTGCAATAAATTTTTTATATCAATATAGAATTAATGAATTAAGTTGCTATGAGAAATAATACTAGCTGTCATATATCTATTTCAATCATTGCTTGTCAACAATATAAATCCTTAGTAATATTAATACGTGTTCATAAATAAAACAATTATTAGAAGGATAAGATTAACAAGAATACTTTCACAACTTATAAAGAAATAATAATAATAATAATATAATTAAAAGGCTTTTATAAATATGCTACCAGAATTTGATTTGACTCACCTGAGTTTTCAAAAGCTTATAGTCAAACTCCCTCAATTTCTTATTACTTCAATGATGTCCCAACTTAATCTAATACATAGCTCAACAATCCTCATGTCATTATGAATTTTTTTATAATAATCAATCTAAATTAATATTTAAGCTTCTTTGATAATTCTTTAAATTTCTCATTAACCCCTTAAACTCTCATTGAACTCACCAATAACTTCTATCATTTAGTGCAATCATACTTGGCATCATTCTATTTCAACGATCAACATAACTTTTATTCCAACTTAACAAAAGTCTTAGTTATTACATAGTCTAATAATTTCGCTTTTGGTGCTAGACACTTTTTAATGAACAATTTAACCTTACAACTTGTGTGAAAAAAACATATACTTCCTCAAATAATATTTATAATTTCTCTAAGTTCTACTGTAATATTTAATAAACCTTAGTTCCACCCACAAATCTTTCAATTATATTAACAATTACTATGAGGACATGCACCATTACTAAATCATGAGGCAAGCATCCAGACAAAACTAACAATTTCCGTCTTCTAGTGTCTTTGCCAATCTTAGCTCAGCATATACTAATATAGCATCCAATCCAAACAACACCTAAATATTCCGACAACCTCAAGACAACAATATGGAGAAACAGAGCAGTCTTCCGTCCAATGAAGAAAGAAGGGTAAATCGCACGGTACAATAAAACCCATACTCACGGAAGAAGAGGAACCAACATCTTACCTCAACCAATGCACAGTAGCAGCTGACACACCCACAACTCACGGATCGCATGAAGAAAAAGGGCTTCAAACCAACTGTCTAAGAGAAGGAGACGGAGCAGATTTCATGGACCAAAAAAGAAGAAGCAAATATTAAGCTTTCATCACACATGGATGTTCAGTAAGTGATGAGGAAGGAAAAGGAAATATATTTTCCTACTCACCACCGAAAGCTCGTGACAGAGAAGAATGACAGAATGTTGTAAACTTCTCCCTAGAGGAAGAAGGTGACAGCGGGTACAATAGGCTGATAGCAAGGAAAGAAGTCGCGTATTACGCACCTCACTTAACACAGACTAACCACGATGACCGGGAAAAAAAAAAAAACTCAGCAACTCAACTTCACGGTGCCGGGCAAACGAAGATGACGAGGACAGCAGTAGGCAAGGCAACAACAGCAACGAGAATCCTCAGTTGACAGCGAGCTAGGGATGTTGATAAGAGCCAGATAAAATAACCGACTATGAGGATCTATCTAGAGAGTGTATGATGGCGGTGGGAGAAAAAAAAAAATGACGATTACGATGCTCTGTTTTTTCTTCGCGTGAG